TGAGGGTGGAGGCTGGCGCCCCGGACTTCCGGTCTTGGGGGGGGGGGCTGGGGGCCGGGACCCCCGGGTCTGACGGGGAGGGGCTGGAACTGGACCCCGGGTCCTGAGCTGCCCCCTCTCCAGGCTGCACTGTGGTGGCCCTGGTGCCCCCGGCCTCCCCGACGCCTCTCCTGCTGGCCCAGCTGGCGGGGGAGCTGGCACAGTTCCCAGGAGTCCTCAACGTGCTCAGCGGCCCTGCCTCGCTGGGGCCTTTCCTGGCCTCCCTGTGCGGGGTCCAGAAGGTGGCCTTCTGCGGAGCCGTGGAGGTACCTTCAGGGCTGGGAGCGGGGCTGGCGCCGGGGCAGGAGGCTCCACGCCAGCTGAGCTGTGGGTGTCCCTCAGGAGGGACGGGCCCTTCGGCGGACCCTGGCGGGCACGGGGCCCGAGCTGGGCCTGGCGCTGGGAGCGGAGTCGCTGCTGCTGCTGACGGACACAGCGGACCTGGACTCGGCTGTGGAGGGCGTGGTCAGGCTGTGGACCAGGGCTGTGCAGTTTCCGCCTCCGCCCCGGCGTGTCCTCGGCCGCCCGGCCTCCGACTGGGGGGCTCTGTGCCCCGTCCTTCAGGGCTGTCTGCTTTCGGACCCACGTCCCTGGTTTTCCAGCCGCTGTCTGAGCCGCCACCTCCCTGTGGCCCACAGCGGCCCCTTTGGTCCTCTCAGCCCTGCGTCTGTCTCTGTGGGGACCTGTCTCCCCCACATCAGCTCGGAGCTTGCCCACCTGACACCCCACTTCCTCCTAGGGGGGCCTCAGGCTCCTCGTCCAGGAGTCTGTGTGGGAAGAGGCCGTGAGGCGGCTGCAGGCGCGGATGGGGCGGATTCGGTGTGGCCGAGGGCTGGACGGGGCCGTGGACATGGGGGCCCGAGGGGCTGCCGCCTGGGACCTGGCCCAGCGCTATGTGCAGGAGGCCCGGAGCCAGGGTGCACAGGTGAGCCGGGGGCAAGGACTCGGGGGCGTTGGGAGGAGAGGCTGGGGTCCTGCAAGCCTCCGGGAGACCCTAAGCTCCTGCTTCCCTTCTCCTTAGGTGTTCCAGGCTGGCGACGTGCCCTCAGGCAGCCCCTTCTATCCCCCAACCTTGGTCTCTGGCCTGGCCCCGGCCTCCCCGTGTGCCCAGGTCGAGGTGAGCCCTTGGGTCTCGGAGTGCTTGCCCCTGCCACCGCCCTCTGCCGCCCATGGGCAGCCGCGCTGCACCGGCAGGACGCCCTGGGTGGCCTCACCTGGTCGCCCTGGTGGGGGGTATGGCCGGCCAGACCTCCCAATCTCCAGGTGCCATGGCCCCTGGTTGTGGCCTCTCCTTTCCGCACAGCTAAGGAAGCCTTGGCCATGGCCAACGGGACGCCCCGGGGAGGCAGCGCCAGCGTGTGGAGCGAGAGGCTGGGGCAGGCGCTGGAGCTGGGCAGCGGGTCAGTGGGCCGCGGGCGAGTCGGCTTGGCCCCATCCCCTCTTCCCCCTTCTTCGCCTCCGTCCCCACCCCCGTCTCCATCTCCTGCAGGCTCCGGGTAGGCACGGTCTGGATCAACAGTCACGGCCTCAGAGACCCTGCGGTGCCCACAGGCGGCTGCAAGGAGAGCGGCTCCGCCTGGCACGGGGGCCTGGATGTGAGCCCCCCCACCCTCACGTCCCCCGCCCCCAGCCAGGCCCGCCCCGCGTCCTCCTGACTCTGCCCCTCTCACAGGGCCTGTACGAGTACCTGCGGCCCCCGGGGCCCTTCTCCCGGCCGGCCCCTCTCCCCGGGCCGCCGAGCTACGACACCTTTGGCCTTGCTGTGCCCCCGGCCCTGCCGGCTGGACCTGAAATGGGGCCGAGGTGAGCGTGCCGGGGCCGGGTAGTCTGGGGTGCAGGAGGGGAGGAGGGAGTCATGTCAGGCTCCCCACGGACTGGAGGACTGGGGGCAGCCTCATCAGAGCCGCGGCGTGTGGGTTATGGCCTCACTTACGCTCCCCACCAGGGCTGACGAGAATCGCAGATCTATTAACTGAAGGTGTGCCCTCCCAGAAACTCGGGGTGGGGGTGCCTAGGAGCCCAGAGACTCATGGGAACAGGAGCTTAGGGTCCCCCAGAGGCTGTGAGAGCAGGAGCTTTAGGGTTCCCAGAGGCTTATAGGAGTTAAGGGCAGCCCAGTCGGGTGGAGCATGAGCCCAGAGTAGACCAGCCCCAAGACCCCCCTCGCCTTCCGCTCCAGCCCAGCACCCCCCTACGGGCTCTTCGTGGCGGGGCGTTTCCAGGCCCCGGGGGCCCGGAGCTCCAGGCCCACCCAGGACTCGCTGGGCAACGTCCACTGCTATGTGGCTGAGGTCAGAGCCAAGGATATCCGAGGTGCTGTGGAGGAAGCCCACCGGGCTGCCCCTGGGTAAGAGGTCGCATGGGAAAGCCCAGGGTGGTGGGTGGCAGAGAGGGCCGTCTGGGACCCCCCAGTGTTGGCGGGCTGTGGGTCCGTCCTGTTCTATGAGTGTCTGGGACTACGATGGC